CTCCTGCATGACCCAGTTAGAGGCATCCAGGGAGCTCCTCGTGCACAGGGCTGGTGTTCCTGCCCGAGACATCAGCTGTTCCCTGTCTAATTACCCACGGCTGAGTCATCCCGGCCCCGCTTTATCAGCGCTCACAGCCACAGACAAAGCGCCCTTTGTGCTCCTCCAGCCCCTGCCAGTGGGGAATTGCCAAGTACAATTAATCACTGGCTCCTGCTGCTACAGGCCTGGGGCATGGTGCCCTGGGAAGATGGAGATCAAGGAATTGAGAAAGGCCACTGCCTTCCCAATGGGACAGAACTGGGACTAGAGCCCAGATCCCTATCCCACTCCAGGAAGGTGATGGCAAGGAAAATATGTCCCCTGACAGGGAACAGCCACCACCCCTGCCATACCATGGAATGGTTTGGGTTGGAAGGGATCTTAAAGCTCTTCTTGTCCCATCCCTCTGCCATGGTCAGGGACACCTTCCACTAGCTCAGGTTTCTCCAAGCCCCGTCCAACCTGGCCTTGGACACTTCCAGGGATGGGGCAGCCACAGCTTCTCTGGGCCACCTATGCCAGGGCCTCTTCACCCTCACAGCCAACAATTCTTCTCAATATCCCACCTAACCCTGCCCTCTGGCAGTGGGAAGCCATTCCCCATTGGCCTATTACCACAGGCCCTTTTTCAAAGTCCCTCTCCAGCTCTCTTGGAGCCCCTTTACATACTGGAAGAGATTCTGAGGTCTTCCTGGATATCCAGCAGTGGTGGCTTTTGCCCAAGAGAGGTGCTTATGGCTCTGCCAGCAAGAGCAAGGCAAATGTTTGTGAGTATGGGAAGTGTGCAGACCAGGATTATCCAGTTTGGTGGGTATGGATGATCCAGGGACAGCTCCAGCAGGTCCATCAACTCCTCCTGCTTCCTGAACCAGACATAGACCCTTGGAGAGGAAAACCAGTGCTCAATTTCCAGGCCATACCTGTGCTGGGAAGGCTGTAAATCCTGTTTGCTGTGCAGTGATTTCCAGGCTGGCAGGTCCGAGCGGTGACGTGGGACGTTCCCGGTACCCAGCAGGGCTCATCTGCACGGGGCTGGAGCAGGAACTATTTTGGGGATGGAAGCATTTGGCCAGGTTGTGAAAGTGCTGAGCAGCTGCTGTTTCTGCACTGGTGGCTGAGGAGGGTCAGCAGAGATGTCCCCATGTCTCTGGCAGTGTGTGGGTGCTGCCCCTGGGCCGGGGCTGCTGGAGAAGGGCACAGCCAGTCCCTGCTCACCAGGAACGAGCTGCTCCTGCAGCTCCCTGGCACAGCAGAGCAGGACAGTGGCTCAGCTGCCAATTCAGCCCCTCCACCTGCCCTGCTCAGGGGAGGGTTAGGTCACCTCTGCTCACCTGGCTGGGTATCAGTGTCCCAGTGCTGCTGGGGGAAGCCAGGTAGGGAATTTTAGGCCTGACTGGTAATTAGTTAACTCTGTTCTTGGCACAAAGCAGGACACAGCGAGCTGGAAAGCTACATGAGTGTGGCTCTGCCTGTGTCCTACATAAGGAGAAGCATCCAGCACCTCCCTATCCCTCGGGACACCAACCACCCCTGAGGCAAAGCTCACCTGAGAGCTACCGAGCCTTCCCTGAGGGGAATAAACACAATGTGCCTGTTCCTGGCAGTGCCAGAGCAGAGCAATGAGCTCTGCAGGGCATGGAGAGCAGCTTTACACCCCAACACTTGCCTGTCAAAGGGAGGGGATCAGGCCAGAGCACGCTGGGAAAATGGGGTATCAGCACCAGGCACCATGCTCCCATTTTTGTCACACCAGGACTCTAAGGAGTTAACACCAAATGCCACCTCCTGTATTTTATCTCTCCTCCATTGAGGCAGCTCTGACAGTGGCAGCAGAACAATGCGAAATTCTGATTAGCTCTGGTTTTCCAGCAAGAGGGGAGGCACGAGAGGGTGGGGAATTAATACTATTCTGCATAATTTTTAATCTAAATTCCATTTCTTTTCTTTTCTTTCTCCAGGAAGCAAACAATCTAGGGGGTTTTGTACTCAATTTCTTGCTTTCATAATCTAAATGAATTGTTTGCAAGTAGGAGCCAGCTGCAAAGCTGGCAATCTTGGATCAGATCTGCCTTTCCCCCAGTTCTAGCTCCTCAGCTCTGATTAGCTAATCCTGGCTGCCTTGTGGCAGTTTCCAGGGAAAAGCAGCGTGTGAGCTGCAGCTCCCTTTGCTGGAGCCGGGGCTGACGGCCGGGGCTGACAGCATTGATTTTGGGTGGGTCCGTGGTGCTCCTGGTTGTCAGTTCTCCGTGGAGGAGCGGGGTATTCTCTAGGAGCAAAGGCTGGCGGGGTTATTTATGGAATCCTGGCATTTTGGAAATACCAGAGGATGATTCTTTCCCCTGCTCTGCGCAGGGCGTGTTAGTTTGTTACGCTCAGACTAATTAGCTGGGCTTTAAAATAGGAATAGGAGGCACAGCAGCAGCTTCTTGCTTGGTGATATGTGGGTGCTGCCCCATTTTTGGGGTGTTGCTGGTGTGCCTGGGGGATGTGGCAGAGCTGTCACCCCCATTTGGTGAGGCAAAGATGGTGGTGGATGGAGGCTCACAGAGCTCAAGCTTCAGCAGTGGGATGTCTGGAAGGGGATGGGATATTGGATGTGTTTTGTGCCAGGCCCTGGTTTGCTGCACAGTAAATTAATCTTCCCTGTGAGGGTGGTGAGGCCCTGGCACAGGTTGCCCAGAGAAGCTGTGGCTGCCCCATCCCTGGAAGTGTCCAAGGCCAGGTTGGACTGGGCTTGGAGCAACCTGGGCTAGTGGAAGGTGTCCCTGTCCATGGCACCAGGTGGAATAGGATGGGCTTTAAGATCCCTTCCAAGACAAACCTTCTATAATTCTATGACTCCATGAATTAATTTGTGAATTAAGTCGTGATCTCAACTCCTGCCGCGAAGCTGGGAGTGCTCCTGCCAGGCCTAGATGTGCTGGGGGTGTCCCACTGGGATGTCACCTCTCCAGGCTGACTGCTGACAGTCCCCAGAGCATCACCTCCTGCTGTGCAGCTCCCTGTTACCCCATTCTCACAGCTCTGTGGGCCCAGGCGAGTGGGACATGGCTCTGGTGACCCCCGTGCCCCCACGCTGGGCTGCTGCTGGTCTCGTGTGCCCTTCCCTGTGCACAGCTCCACAGCCTCATCCCTCAGTCGCTGCCTGCCTGTGCTTTATTCCACATGCTCCTTTTTCAGATCAAATTCCCCGAGTGCTGGGGGTGGATCCTTATAATTTTCATTTGTTTCAAAGGCGTACATGGCTTTACAAGCATGACAGAAATGCGCCTGGAGTGCAGGAAATGGCCTACTTAGCTGCAGGAGCAGAGCAGCTTCTCTGTCACGCTGACTCCAAGGACCTCGTCCTCCCCAGGGACTGGAGCAGCTGCCTGCTTCCCTCACCAGTGCATTTCTGCAGCTTCTCTTCAGGAGATGTCTGGTCCCCCCACAAAGCTCAGAGCAGTGAACAGGCAGAACAGTGCTGGGGAGCAGAGGTTTGGAGGGTACTTCCACATTCAAGGCCAGGTTGGACGGGACTTGGAGCAACCTGGTCTAATGGAATGTGTCCCTGTCCATGGCAGGGGGTGGAACAAAGTGGGCTTTAAGGTCCCTTCCAACCCAAACCAGTCTGGATTCAATGATTCTGAGTTCTGACACTGAAATGCTGTGTGAGGTTGGGACTGGTCTCTGTCCATGTCCCCCCTGGCCATGACAATCTCTTTTGGCTCTTTCAAGGTGGTTTGGAGAAGGACAGAGGCTCTATTAGGACTGTTACCCACAGAGGTAGCACAGCTTGTAGGGCCAGACCTCCAGCTTTTGGACTTACTGGGCACTTTCAGCCTCATGAAAGGGGACGGATCTCAGAGGTGTTGCCTTTCCAGAGTCTGGGTGAGCTGGGAAGGAGGAGGACTCACCCCAGGCTCTCATGGAATGAAAGGCCAGTGACAGAAGGGGTTCAACTCCCAGCAGCACCCAGAGGTGGGGTGGCCAGGCAGCTGCACATGACTCTGCCTTCACACCACTGGGATAATGCACAGGGACTGTTCGTGCTACCTCTGCCATGCCTGGAACCAGATGCATGCACAGAGAATCACAGAACATGCTGAGCTGGAAGGGACCCACAGGGATCATCCAGTCCAACTCCTGGCCCTCAGAGACACCCCAACAATTCCACCCTGTCTCCCTGAGCTCTGGCAGCCTTGGGGCCATGCCCACTGCCCTGGGGAGCCTGGTTAGTGCCAAACATCCTCTGGGGGAAGAACCTTTTTCTAATACCCAGCTTAACCCTACCCTGACACAGCTTCACCTGTGTCAGAGAGGGTAATCAGACACTGGGATGGGCTGCCCAAGGAAGTGATGGATTTTCTGCCCCTGGAGGTGTTTAAGGTGAGACTGGATGTGGCATCAGTGCCATGGGCTGGTAACCACAGTGGGGTTGGATCAAGGGTTGGACTTGATGATCTCAGAGGTGCTTTCCAACCTGGCTGATTCTATGATTCTATGAGTCTAATAGCTTTAGATTCTTCTGATATTGTGGGACCCAGAACTGCACAGAGGCAGGTGAACATTAAGCTGTCCAGCTTTTAATCTTATTGAATGGCTCTACCTGGTGTACTGAACCCTCCAGGGATCCAACCTTCTCTCAAACTATTTCCATTTTATTTGCTGTGGTTTTGTCTTTGGTTCAGAGAACACACTAGCAGCAGCAGCTACTGAACCTCTCCATGAAGTCTTTGAGGCTTGGGGAAGATGGAGTTCCCAAGAACCTGAGAGACAGACAGCAGTGAACACTGCTGAAAAGTTCACTTACTGAACTTTTCCCAGTCAGAGGAATGCTCCAGACCTTGCTCCATGGACACTAGCAGACTGCCTCTGAATGCATTCCATTAGAAACCATGGCTACAGTTCAGAAATATTTGTTTTGGGGCTCTAATCCTTCCTCCCACCACTCTCATTTATCTTAGTGATGCTAATGCCACACTTCAGACTTTGCATTTTAATCCCAAACAAATATTAGTGTTCTGAGAGTTGGGAGTCCCCATGTGTCCATCTCCACAGTGGCATCCAAGGCCGTTTGGAGGCCTTGACTGCCTTGGCTAAGAATTCTGGGATTCAATCCGGTGGATGCTCTCTGATGTCAGTGAGTCAAAAAGGCCACAGAGCAGCTCCTGGGCCTGGGGAGAAAAGAAGGAAAGGGTTGGGGCAGAGCTGTGAGTTGTGCATGGCAAAGAAACCTCTTTTCAGATGCAGGTTTCTTGTGCAGAGGCTGTTTTCCAGGCTGGATTAATCCCAGCACAGAGATGGCTGGGAAACCTCTGCTAGCTGTGACCACTGGCTGTTCTCAGGAGTCGTGTTTTCAAAGAACAACAAATAGCAACAATATGCAGAGTGCTAAGTGGGAAATCTACTCCCTCCTCCAGCTGCTCTGCCTCTCTTTCCCAAACCTTGCTCTGGAGCAGCTCTGGCATGGCTGCTTCCAAGCTGGAGAAGCCAGGATAGTGCCAAGGGCCCCGGGACAATCCTGCAATCCTGGCTGTGCTAATGAGCACCATGAACCATAAAGCACAAGAGGTGCTGTGCTGACGCCCACCCCACACAGCCCTCGGGGCCCTCCTGCCAGCTCTGCCTCTCCTCACAGCTTTTTAATCTCTGTTATAGACTCCAGCCCCTCTGCTGCTGAGGGGCAGAGTGGCCAAGAGTGGCTGGGATGTGTTTTCCACGTGTCCCTCTGCTCTGGTCCCGGGTTTCAGGTGGTTGCAAGGAGGGAGATGCTGGAGCAGACTTGGGCAGAGCTGAGGGGTTAGTGCTGCCTGCCAGTGGAGGCTCAGCTGCATCCGTGGGCTCTAACTGAGGGGTGACTGTGCAGAGACCGTGTCACCCCCTGCACGTCAGTGACGTCCTGCACCGCCACCGAGGGACGGCCACCTCGGCCTCGCGGGCTCATCCCAGCAACACTCACGGCTGCAGGGAGGGGAAATGGCCAGCCCCAGGACATCCCAGTCCTGAGGCTGAGCACAGCACACCCTGACTACTCTCCTGTTGCTGGAGACATTCCAGTTTGGGCAGGGACATCTGGAGGTCCATGGAAGTTCAACAGCCCCTAATGGTGGCCATGGCTCTGTCACACTTCCAGATGGGAACTGGTCTGTGTGTGCCCAGGATAAGCCTGCACAGCATTTTCAGGGTCACCGTGTAAAAATAAGGAACTTCCAAAGTGTGGATTCGTCTGCTCCTAAGGCAGATGTTTCACACAGGCAGGTCAAGGTGCTCCAGCAGTGCAAGGCTTGCTCACCTCAAGGGCTGCAGAAGCAGGCAGACAACCAGCCCAGGCCCAGATGTCAGCACTGACACAGTCCACATTTGGAAAGCTGATTTCCCATCCTATTGCCTAATCCCAAATCTCACAGGGAGCAAGGATGATGTTCCTTTTCACTTCCATGGCTCAACTCCACCAGTAAAGACTGCAGCTCTGCTCAGACCACGAGGATTTGAAATCCATGTTCGTTTAACCCTCCTGAACTTTGCCAGGTATCAGGATGTTGCTCATTAGCTTCGCCCTGGAAAGCCTGCCTGGCATTTCATAAACTCATTAGCAAGAGATCAGAGGCTCAGACATCATTCCTTGGGCCACCCTTTGAGGTTCAGGTTCCCTGGTGCTCTTGCTCCTCAGATCTCACTCTGATTCCTACACCTACCCCAGATTTGGGAGCCAATGACCCACTGGAAAACAAACCTGATGTTGGTACCCCCAACAAGACCTGCTGAACCTGCCACTGTCCCAGGACTACAGTCCTGGTCTAAACTCTGAGCTGCTGAGAGCAGCCCCTGCTTCCACCAGCCCCGGAGGGATCAGATTCCACATCCCAGGCTGTCAGAAGCAGGGAGAAGGGCTGAGCATATTTGCTTTTTTCTCTTCTCAGCACAGAAGCGCTCTGAGCCTTTTCCTGATTGGCTGATTCCCCGGTGCCGGGAAGCAGAAAGGATTTTATGTCAGGCAGGGATATGTAATGTCCTTTCAAAGCAAATCAGAAGCCAGCCTGGACTTGCTGCCCTGTCACATTCCTTGGCAACAGCCTGGCACCCTGGCAGCAGGCAGCACTGAGCTGTGACAGCCCTGCAGAGCTGTGCAGGCAGAGCTCCCAGGCACTGCAGCGGGAGCAATCCCAGCCACGCTGGGGAGAATCCCACTGAGCCACGGGGAGAGAGGCTGAAGGCAGCAGCTGAGGGACTTTGGGGAAGTTGGGGTACCTTTGACTGTGTTAAAAGAAGGAACACAGACTTCAAAGAGGGCTCTGTGTCTTTTAAGGCTCAGTCCTTAAAGCACTAGTCCTGAAGGCAGCAGCTCTCATGTGTTGTGTGAGGTTACAAGCACAACCTCTCTCTCCTGCTGGGTTTTTTTTGGGGAAGCCAAAGGGATCCAGAGGAGAGGCTTGGGCATTTGCTGTAATTTCTCACTCCCTCCAATTCTTTTATCACAGAATCACAAAATGGCTTGAATTGGAAGGGACATTAAAGACCATCTCATCCCACACTCCCTTCCACCAGGAGTTTATATCTTCTAGTCCCAATTCTTCAGGCACTGCCTCCTCTAGCCAAACCTCTCGTTTGTTTTGTTCTAAACTTTGATGATTACAGCCAGAATTTTGAATGTATTTATGCAGTTTATTCCCATTAGCTGCCCACATGTCTGGAGTTCAGTGTTTCCTTTCTTGGGATGAACTACTGAGAAAATATTCAGCCAACCCATCCCTGGAATGGCTTCGTTTCTCCTCTTGCATTTGGATTTGGGCTTCTGAAACACAACTTCCAGAACACAGGACATGTGCCAGCTTGGCCACAGAGCTGAGTGAACATTTCCTGTCACTAATTTTTGACAAATATCACAGCTATTTGAAATCTTTCCCTGTGAGGGTGGGGAGGCCCTGGCACAGGTTGCCCAGAGAAGTTGTGGCTGCCCCATCCCTGGAAGTGTCCAAGGCCAGGTTGGACAGGGCTTGGAGCAACCTGGGCTGGTGGAAGGTGTCCCTGCCCATGGTGGCAGGGGGTGGAATGAGATGAGCTTTGAGGTCCCTTCCAACCCAAACCATTCTGTGATTCTGTGATATTTTTTAAGTGTTGATTTTTGAGAAAAAATAACCAAATTTCTATGGAAAATATAGATTCTTTATCAATATCTCCAATTATTTTGATTGAAAATTGTGTCACCACTGTAATATGGGAGACAGTTTGACAGGATTTTAGTCCCGTCTTCCCCAGGTTCGGGGCTGCCACAAGACACCACCTCTGTCTCACAGAGCTTATAATTTTCTTCTAAAATTCAACCAATATTGACAAATTTCATCCATCACAGGGGCACAAAGGACACATATCTGTACCATAAACTTCTCTACTTGCCTGATTCTCATTCTGGGGATAAAGGAGATGCTCTGCAGTGTTCAGGATGGACTGCTTCTGCCAGCAGGCACTGGGGGTAAAGAGGAAGGGAAGGCAGTGTTAGTTTGCCCCGTCAGCTGTCAGGGAGTGCAGATGACCCAGCTCTGAGGAGGACTGTGCTCTGTGCCAGCAATTCCAGCCACGGGCATCTGCTACTGAACTGCTTTACACAGCTAAATCCGGGGTTTTACAAAGCTTTGTATAAATGGCTTTGCACTATTAAAATATAAACCTTCAAACTAACAGTTACATAATGGGGTCTCTGGGGCAGACATGTAAGTGTAGACAGTCAGCTCTGTGCAAGGGTCTTGTTCTCCACAAAGATAATCTGGGTGTTTTACATGAAACCCAGGACTTTCTGAGCTGCAGGGACTGCCTCACTAGTCCTTGTTTTGCTCTGTTCCTCCTCAAGCCACACACAAGCTGACCCTAAAACATATTCAAGAGAAATCAAAAGGCATGGTACAAATTTCAAAAGTGCCTTTTAAACTGACTCTGTGCACGCTTGGAGCCTCAGGCTTGAAAATTCTCCAGAGGCTTTGAATGCCACTCCCTGCTCCCTGCCCCCATATCCAGGTATTGTGCTTGGCAACAGTTTTCCTTTCAGTGGTTTTCAACTGCTCTAAGATTTTACACCCCATGTGTTCATTTTTTTTTTTTTTTTATTTCTACACCTCCTACCCCTCCAAAGCTCCCCGGGATGAGCTTCCTATAGGGATAACATCGCTCCCTGCTAACAGCAATTAACACTGGGAAGAATGTTCCGTCAGGAAGAATAACATCCAGCTAAGTTCCTTAACACTTGCCTTCTGTTCTGATTGCATTACATTGTTTAAAGGTAGAAAGGCAGAAAGCCTGGCCTAAACTCTGATTTTATTCTGCTGTAGTGTTTTGGGTGTTTTACCCAAAACCTGCCTCCTGAGTTCAGTACAATGTTAACCAGGTGAGCTCCTAAGTCTGTGCACAACTTATTTAGGTCCTAACAATCTTACAGGCATCTGAAAGTACTTTTTAAATGCATAAAACCATAGAGGAGTAATCACTATGGCACCAGCATCACCTATTAAGGCAGCTAAATCTGGTTTGTCATGCATAAAAAGCAGAGCATGCCTTCCTTCCAGGAGCTGCTTTGAATCCACTGCTGTACATTCTTCCCTCTGCCACCCTGCAGCCAGGAAATGTGGCTGTGAAAACAAGTTGTGGCAGGGAAAATTCAAATGCTTTAAAGTGAGATATCCAGGCAGCCGGATGCTGATAGAACTAGAAAGGTAAGTCTCACACAATTTTTCCTTGTCTCTGGGATAGGATTGTGTCACTTCCTTCTCTGGGTTCTCCCCCTGGTTCCCACTGCTCCCAGGCTGTGCTGCAGCTTCCCCTCACCTCTTCCAAACACTGACTTCACTCTGCCCTATGAGTTAGCCTTGGCACACACCCAGATTCTCCCAGATTCCTCCTCTGGCTCCACTCCTGGCAGGCAACCAAACTCACAGGCTGCTTTTGTGTCCACACCTGCATTGGTTTTGTCCCTCCCTCTGTTCTTCCTGCCCTTTGGTGCAGAAATAATTCCTTCATGGATGCCCAGAAAGCAGCCAGAGTGGGCCCAGCTGCTGGACAATAATCAAGACACACTTAGGAGGGTCTGGATCTGTCTTCAACCCCCCCCAGGGACTGAATGTCTCTCCAGCACTACCAGAGCTGGCTTAGGGAAGCTTTAATAGACTCAGAGCTAGGAGCAGTTACACTGGCAAAGACCACTTTGCTCCTCTCAACACCTGATTCCTCCTTCTTATCAAGGCCCATCTCCGACATCACATCCCAGGCTTCCATGCAGATGGCAACATTCCTCCCCCTGGCACAAAGAAATGTGGCTCAGCTGTGAGTCAAGTCCCAGGGCTGTAAAATAATCCCTCCACCGTGGTGCTTCAGCAGTGCAGCTCAAATTCAGGCCAAAACCTGGGCAGGTCATGGCAGAGAGAGGGAAATAAATACCCAGTGACTTACACGGTACAGAAAGGGCTGATGGAGTTGTCAGTGTAATTAACCTCAGGTGTTATTTAAATTGAAGATGTCTTGGCATGAAGTGTCCTTATGAGGCACTAGTGAAGTCAGGCTGGGTTTTCAAACATATTGGCAAAGCAGATTTTAAGCAATGTCTTGTGAGACAATAAGGCCCTGAGCTCCTGTTGGCTGAAGCTGATCTACCTGAAGATGTGAGCCTCTCTCCTCTCTCTCCCTTCCACAGGCACCACTGATCATGAAGGCAAATATGAGGGTTTTGCATGAAATGGCTGCCTGATCACTGGTTCTGGCACCAGGGTGAGAGGCAGAGTGGATCCTGCCACTTGAAGTGCCTCTTGACAGCCATAACTTATGCACATGTATTGTGCAGTTCAGCAAGGGACTCTGTACAGAGCAGGATGAGAGGTGAAGGCACAGTGAGACTGGCACCTATTCCTGCCCACTTCCTTCTCAGCCCCTGGGCTCCCTGGTAAAGACAGGAGAAGCCATAGGAGGTTTCTCTGGAGGTGCTGCCTTGAGACTGAAGCTAAAAACACATCTAGCCTACAGGAGAGGGAAGTGCTGGGCTGCAGCTGGTCCTGCTAAGCAGCACCCATGACTCTGGGAAAAAAAGAGAGGTAGGGGGCCTTGTACTGGCAACCACTCTCCCAGAACCACCCCAGTGATCTCTGGGGTTCCCAGCAGCTCAATTTTCCCCTGTAAACCAGGAAAAAAAGTGGAAGAAAACACAGCAGAAAGGTCTTGGGGAAGTTGCTCTTTGCCTCCCTTTAGTGCTGTGCCTTGCAGGGTGGAAGGTTTGGGATGTGGCTCCCAAGGGTGTGATTTTAAATGAATGGGAGCAAAAAGTCTATATTTTGCAATTACCTTAAACACATTTTTGAAAACTTACTGCTGAACTTTGTTCCAACCATTCTTCCTAGGTGTGGCCCTGAAACATTTCATCAAAGTATGACAAGTCCAACATACTTTCATCAAAGTATGACAAGTGCCTACAAACATGGATATTCAGCTTTTATCCCCTTGATGCTTGTAAACTCCATTATCCTTGAATACTTATTCCTGCTCCACTGACAGCATCATCTGGAAATCCTCCAGATGGTCCAGCCAAAGTCAGGGCAGTGTTATCAGTGTGGCTCCTGGCCTGCTCCTCACTGAATTTGTCAGAAAACATCCTCCTTGCTTCCTCTGCCAGAGGAACCATGTGCATGAGCTACACATCCCATTGCCAAACACCAGCCCCTGTGCAGGCAAACCTTCCCTCTGGGGAACAGAGGGTTAATTGCCCTGCTAATCACTCCATTTCACTAATCGGTCCCTGCAGAGGGGTTCTGTTTGTTTTTCCAGCCTTATACATCCCCTATCCAACGTTTCTGGTGATTTATTTAAGAGGCTAATTTTGATTTTGCTCTCTGGCATTTCAGTATTTTTTTCATAGCAAACATAAAATCTGCTAAGATATTTCTCCAAGGAATTTTATTGATTCAGCAGGTCTATTCCCAGTGTGAGTCCTTATTTCAGAATCCCCTGTATTCAGGGAACCACGCTGCCAAACCTCACAGACACTCAGGTCCTTAACCAACAACACAGCTTAGTATTTAAGGTCCTGAGTAGAGGACACATGACTTGGAAAGTGTGGGATACTTTGAGGTATTGTGCCCCTCACAACAAGAAAGACACTGAAGGTCTGGAGCATGTCCAGAGAAGGGAATGGAGCTGGGGAAGGGGGTGGAGCACCAGGAGCAGCTGAGGGACCTTCTCACTCTCTCCAACTCCCTGACAGAAGGATGGAGCCAGGTGGGGGTCAGGCTCTGTTCCCAAGGAACAAGGGACAGGAATGAGAGGAAACTGCTTCAAGTTATGTCAGGGAAAGTTTAGGTTGGATATTGGGAAAGTTCCTTCAAGGAAGGGGTGGTCAGGCACTGCAACAGGCTGCCCAGGGCAGTGGTGGAGTCACCATCACTGGAAGTGTTCAAAACACACGTGGATGTGGCACTTGGGGACCTGGCTTAGTGTAGTACATGGTGGTGGTGCTGGGCTGATGTCTGGATTTGATGATCTTAATGGTCTTTTCCAACCTTAGGGATTCCATGATTCAGTGATTAACAAGGTAACTGTGAAGAACAGGTTGCCTTTGAGTGGCACCTGCCCTCATCAGACCTGGAATTACAGAGAAGGAGGTGCCCCTCCTCAGAGCACAAGCTCTGTAGGGGTGTGGGGCAGGGCCATGTCCTCTCTTACCTGTCCAGCAGGGAGCAGAGGCAGGTGACAGCACTGTCCCGCTGTGCTGCCAGCACCAGGCACAGACCATCCTTCAGGAGGGAACACTGCAAGAGAGGCAAAAACAGAGCTTTGGTGCTGCTCTTCACTCAAATGAGTCTAATTCTGGCTGATGAACCGCTGACAGCACCAATAACCACTTGTGTGCTGTGGGAGGGGCTGGAGCCACAAAGCAACAGACTCTTCCAAGTGGAGAGGATCGTGTCTGAGCTGTTATCCAGCTCCTACAGCTCACTGTTATTCCTGCTCCCCTCTCTCAGAGTGAAAATAAGCAGGGGGTGTTATTCAGTCATTACCTCCGCTGGAAGCAGGAATAGGGAGATAAGGTAAATGTTGAGATGTTGTAGCAGAAGCATGCATTACTTGAAGGAACCCACCTCCCTTCCAGCACAGGAAAGCAAAGGCTGTAACATTCACCTTTAGCTCAGCAGTGCCAGATCCTTCTGGAAGCACGCCAGCTCTGCCCAGAGTCATTAATCTCTGACAGGAGGAAGGAGGTATGGCTCTGCCCCACACACAGTGATTCACTTTGTCATTCCTAGAGAGCTGCACATTCCACGTGCAGGGGGATGGATCCTCGGGGGACCCGCGGGAAAAGGAAGCAGTTCTTACAGTAATTGGCTGCTAGATGTAATTGCTGTTCCATATAGATGTGCTTCAAAGGGATGTCAGTTTAAAAAATCACAACCTGAAAAGGTCTTAGCTGCTGTTATTACAGATAACACAACTGAAAAGCTGGAAGCAAAAATGTGTTTTGCAGAGGGGCTGCTGTGGTCTGACAGCCCTTGGGTGGTTGTTGATTTGCTATTGCCACTGCACGTACTTTCCCCCCTGGTTTACCCCATGCTGCTGACAGCACTTCCTTGTACATTCCACCTTGATGCTTTGCCCTGGCAAGGTTCCTGACATGGTGGGCTCTTCCTACACCAAAATGGTCTGGGCCCAATATTTGGCTGCTGTGAAGCAATGCCTGCTCAGCCCAGCAGCACAGCCCGTGCTCCAGCCTCGTGAGCACTTGCACAAGCCCCACACTGGGCTGTAGCCTGAGCTGTCAGCACCCACTAACTGAGAATCCCAAGAATGGCCTGGAGTGGAAGGGACCCTAAAGCTCATCCCATTCCACCCTCCTGCCATGGGCAGGGACACCCTCCACTATCCCAGGTTGCTCCAAGCCCCATCCAGCCCTAGGAATGGGGCAGCCTCAGCTTTTCTGGGCAACCTGTGCCAGGCCCTCACTATCCTCACAGCCAAGAATTCCTTCCAAATATCTCATCTAATCCTGGCGGTGGGAAGACATTCCCCCTTTTCCTGTCCCTCCAAGCCCTTGTAAATTGTCTCTTTCCATTTTCCCTGTAGGCTCCCTTCAGGTCCTAGAAGGCCACAATCAGTCAGCCCAAAGCCTTCTCTTCACCAGACTGAACAATTCCAATTCTCCAGCCTTTCCTCAGAGCAGAGCTGCTCCATCTCTCTGATCACCTTGGTGCCTCCTCTGGACTTGCTCCAACTGGTCCATGTCCTTCCTGTGCTGGAGACCCCAGAGCTGGAAGCAGCTCTGCAGGTGGGAAATCCCTGCCTAGGACTCCAGGGCACAGTCCAAAATATGAAAGAGTTGTTCAGCATTGTAGTAGAGGATTAATGTAGTAGAAAAAGGGAAAGAGAAATTGTATTTATATGGAGAAACAAGTCAGGAGACAGCAGCAGAACATATATAATTGTGCACTGATGGGTGAAGGGAACTGAATGTTCAGTAAATAAATAATGGATGGGCAATTCCCACTAAGGATACACTCACTGTACATCATACAGTGAGTGTACACTCACTGTACTGTACACTCACTGTACATCATACATCACTGTAATGATGTTGAGGTTGGGGTCAGTGAGCCAGCAGGGATACAGGAACACCAGGGAGGGACACTGCCCAAGTTACTCACCAGAGGTGTCAGAGCTCAGAGGCAGTGCTGGAACACTGCTACCAAAGCAAGTTTGCTCAGAGCAAACAGCCAGCTTAGCACAGCAGGGCATTAAAAAGCTCTTCTTTTGGGAAGGAAGCAAAGCCCACCTCCAGCTGTTCCATACCTTTGCTGCCACACTGCCCTTGGCCCTGCTGAGTGTCCTGGAGATGCAGAGAGCCTGTGGCATGTCCAGCACGGTGAGACGAGCTCCGGTCACCACGAAACCTCTGCCAAGAAGCTCATCCAGCAGGTCCACATAAGGTGGGGGCTCTGAACCCCGCAGGATTATCCCAGGCAACACAAGGCAAGTGGTTTGGCAGCGGGTATCCAGCAATGGCTGACCTGATGGGAGAAGATGAAAACACTTATTTGGTATTTCCCCCCCTCTAAGTGATTCTTCCCCGCCACAGACATGGAAGTGGGATGTTGGAGGCACTCAGGTGTTGTGATGTGGTTTGGGATGCTCGTCCCAAGCTGCTGGACTGCTGCTGTCTTTGTGTCCCTATCTGGAGAGCACAAGACAGCAGAACTGACCCCATTTCAGGAGTCAGACAAGGACAACTTCTGCTTTGCTACTGGAGATACGGTTCCATTTCATTTTTTTCCATGCAAAGAAATCTGTTAATCCAGCTGCTTTTATAATCCCTAATGTAATTTTGCTCAACATACGTAAGACTTAATGTATTTCATATTTTCCTCATGATAAATCTGTCTGTCCATTAGGCAGCAGCTCTGTGATAATTATTTGCTGGAAGGAGGTTTCCTTGTGTGCAAGAGCTTCCTCTAGTGTTCGAGATGAGCCCAGAACGTGAGTGATGTGTCTGCCTTGCTGGAGGCACTTACTATATCCTGCCTGACAGTTCAGGGATCACGAGGACTTGCTTTTCCAGGACAGTAACTCTTTGAAATACATTTTCTGAGACACAAAAACATCAAGGCTGTACACTGGTTTCCTTTTTGCTCTGCTTAGACATCTTCAAAGCAGAGATCCTCATGCAGCAAGAAATTAAGGGCACATATTTTGAGATTTGATTCCAACACTGGGCTGTGCAAAGCCTGCAGAATACCTCTGCTCTCTCCACAAGCTATTTTGTTTATTTTATTTTATGCAATCTCTTATAAAAATCAGGAAGTGCTTCAGTCACAGCAGACCTGTGCTACAGGCCCAGTTCTTTCCCCTTGTGCAGTAAGATAATGGGAGAAATACCAAGTAACAAATACCTTGGGAAAAATCCTCCTTCAGAGACCCCCCACCCAAAGTGACAGCTCTGCTGTCCTGAGGGCAGAGGCCTTGACTTACCACCCCTTCCCTGCACTTCCACAGGTGCTGCCTCATGCACCTCCTGGTATGGGACCAGTGCCCCAAAGTCCTGTGTCAGGAAGGGTTTAAGGAGAGATGTGATGGTCTGTAATTCTGTAGCATTTTTGTCATACTCCTCTCTCAGTCTACAACAATCCTGTGGTTCCACTGCTGCTATTGATGACCACAGTGATCAGGTGCAGCACAGAACCATTTTCTGAGCTGCCCACATCAGTCACACCAGAACTCAAGCTACAGGAATGAGAATGAGCTGGTTCCAAACGATTCTATTCCCCAGTGAACACCACAGGGATGCTTTACTTGATCACTGCTTGTTTGTAAAGGCTTGGGATCAATCCACAACATCCCAACATGGCAGCATCCCCCTGTGTTAGTGACACCTCGTGACCTGAAGGATGCTGTATCCCAGCTGTGTTTACATTTGTCCATCAAGTCAAATCAACAGAAAAGGCCCAGAGAAGCTGCTGCATCCAAGGGAACTGACAGCCTTGCTGAGGCTTCAGCTCCACATCAAAGTCAGTCTGGCAATAGCTGGGAGTCATTTTGAGCTGGCAGCTGCTCAGCAGCAGTAGGAACTGAATGAGCTCTCAGTCCAGTTCCTGAGAGTTAGATGGCTGTGCTGCCAGCAGCGCTCCCTGCATCCACTCACAGAACAGACTGCCTCACCACCACCCAGCCCTCCCATGTCCTGGTGTCCTTCCTCTCCCAGGGAGGCTTTGAATGGACACACAAACCACTGTGGCCAAAGTGGTGTGAGACACCTTGTAAAAGTTCAGGAGAGGAACATGTGCTGTTGCATCCACCAGCTGTGTTGACAGTGCTTGTTCTGCTGCTGCTGTTAAGGTCAACTCCATATTTAACCCTGAAAGCACTGGCAGTGCAGAGGCCCAGCAGGTAAACAGTTAAATGGCTGCACTCCCCTGGAGCTGTTCTTTGCAGCTCAGAGCTGTCTCTCCCTTCTGAAGGGACATCAATACCAAATCTTGCTGCCACCAGATGGTTTGTCTTGCTGTCCAATTAATCAATAGCAGTCCCAATCTGTATCGGGAGTTACATTTCCTTACCAGGACTGCATAGCTGCTCAGAGCCCAGAACACTGGGTTTTCTTCCTGGCTCCCAGTTTAGGATCTTGTGCTCCTTGCTGACTTCCAGACTGAATATGGGGTCACGTTTCAGGTTATAAATCTGCAGGAGGGAAGGGAGGGAGAGAGAAACAAGTCACATGAACGCAGCTCCCTAATCAGGAGGGCTAACACTTCTGAAGGATTGATTCAGGCAAGCTGTGAAGCTTTTGTTGCTGTTGTGTACTTCTGTAATTGCCAGCCCAGAAAACACCTGCTTGTCTGCAGATACAAGAACATTTTGCATGCATTTTTCTTCTTAATTGTGGCTTAATTCAATACAGGATCTTGTCATCCTTTTGAAAGTCCTGTATCCAGACATCTTTCTAAGGTCTCTGCTCCCAGCTTTTCCAGGCCAGAAACTCAAAATCTGTGAGGCTGGCAGCTTTATCCAGTGGATAAGTAAAGCTGGGGTATAGCAGCTCCTTCCTGTCTCTGAATGAACTGGCACATCCAAGTGTTCAGCAGAGCCACAATGCCCTGGGCTGAGCTGCACAGGGACAGCAGCCACATTAGTGAAGCCTATTACAGCTGTGGCCAGCAGCATCCAGCTCCAGAGCTAATCTCTTTGGACTAACTCAACTGGGTCACCTCTGAGCCACAGCAAGGCTCAAACATTTCCATCACTCCATTGAGCATAACCAAATCATTATTCCATCATCAGCCATCCCACCTCAGCTCCACTCCAGAACGACACAAAGCTGGTAAAAAATCAGCCCCTGGGTCAGGGATAATGCTGCCATCCCTGCTGAAAGCAAATATCCCCCTTCCAAAGCAATGTTGACCATGTGGCAACTTTGCTCCTGAAACCCTGAGCCCTCCTGAATTTCCAGCCCAGGGTTCTGAACAAACAGATCTGAACCAGCTCTCCTCCACCAGCTCTCTGGGTCAATGCAGAGGGAGCACAGTGTGGTAGGAACATCCACAGGAGAAGGAAAACTCAGCAGCTGGTAAAACACATCAAAAGCACATTATCTAAAACATAATAGGAAAGAAGTCATGGGACAGCAAGGCCAAAGCCACTGCTCTGACACAGCAGGATAAACCCCAGGAAAGGGCAGATCCTACCTCTTCTTCCTCCAGTGTCTGACACTTGGCACAGCACAGCCCTTCTGGGAAAAACAGCTTCATATCCCGGACAGCCATTTGATAGGATTTGGAGCCTGAGAGATAAATAAAATGAGCAGATTCTCTCAGGCTTTGAATTAAACATTTTCTCTAGACTCACACTCATCTTTTGGAGAGATTGATGATGTGCAACTTACTGAAGTAATTGCTTTAAAGGCCAGCTGTTCTGTACAGTAATAGCAAACGTTTAAAACCATTATATTTAGAATAGTTTCATCGCCTCCTTGGTATTTTGATTCTGTCCTATTATCACTCAGCAGCTTCTTCATGTAAACAAGACTCCTGTTTCCTAAGAGTATAGTCAAGGGAATCGTGTTACGGAGCCTGTGAAGCCCTTCAATACCAGCTCTAAATCCCATTGTTGTTCCTTTGCTTCTGGATCACATCAGGCTGATCTTACTGAAGGAAAAGAGCTACTAGTTAGTAAAATAAATGTACTTAGTAACTATAATGCAGGTCCTAAATAGGCTGGGGGGCTCCAACTGACCACAGAAATCAGAATTAGCATGAGGCATTGCTAATGGCAGTGTATCTTCTGTTCACCTGGGGAAAAAAAAAATGGGAATTGAGACTAGAACAGGTACAGAGAAATGATGTGAGGATGGTGGAAGGAATGGAGAACCATCTGAAGAGTTAAAGCTAAAAGACCTTGGCTTGTTTGACCCAATATGACCCAAAGCTGAGAAGCAATTTGATTTCTGATAAACACTCCAGGGGTAGAAAAGGTCAGAGGCATAAAAAGAACTACTTAAAATAAAGTCCAGATAATGGCAGGAGAACAAATGGGCACAAACTGTATGTGACTATATTTAAGTTTGAAAATGTAAGAAGATTTTTAGCTATCAGAGCAGAGAAGCTGCAGACAACCAGACAAGTGGGGTGGATGCTTATGAAAGGGAATGTGTGATGGGGTTGTCTGTGAGGGAATTAACTGATCTCAGTGACTTGAGAGGTCTCTCCAGGCTTAGCAGCTGGATATTTCCCTATAAAGCATCAGCGTTATAAAGCACTACTCAGGATGTGTTGAGATTCGTGGGTGGAAAATATTAGAGAGGGAAAAGCTATTTCTGTGTAACTGGAGTCCACATAGTTTGTCAATGTGCTGGCACAGATCCATACTCCTGGGATACAAATACACAAATATCCTCTGAAATATTCCCACCTTTGAGGCTACCCAGGAAAGAATCCCATCTGAGAGCACTGTTTGAGCTTCATAATTCCAGCTTTGTATGGCCAGAGCCCTTAACACAGCACTTTACAATCCTAAGGTTGTATAAGTCTCCTGTGTTTGAGCTGTGCTGGATCCTTTATGTACCTGCCATGTCTAAATCACTGATGCCATTAGAGGACACAAATGCTCCCAAAGTGAGCAACAGTAAAACTCTTGCTTTGCTCAAGGTATAACCCACTGTAAGGTTCATACACCTAAGAGCTCCTTGGATGCAAGGAAAAGCAATGTACAATGACTTTCCAGGCTCCAGAAGAGATGAAAGTAAGGCAGGTTTAACTCTGCAGCTGAGCCTCAGACTATTAAAGCTGTATTACTGCACTACCTGGTTCAATGGTCTCCCTGGAACCCAGTCTTCATATTAATTGAATTTCCCCAGTCACTTTGGGAGGAAACAGTGAGAGTTTGCTCTGCTTCAGGCATTAACTAAAGTTCTTCCTCGGCTGGAGCAAAACTGAGAAAGCTTAGTATTCCCTCCTAGGAAAGGAAGATGGTCTTACAGTCCCCCACATTACTCATGGAAAGCTCTTCCTGCTTAACTTGTAGGTAAATGTTCCACCTGTATTGAAGGACAAACTCTTGGAGGTACAAGGGTTTAGGAACACTCCCTTCCTTATGGACAGACACCTCCTTGGCAGAGCAGCTGGGTCAGACTCAGTTAGCTACAGCTACATCCATTTTCCTGGAATGTGTGCCAGGATGGCTTTGTACACAATGCACATAGTCTGGTCTGAGAGCAGGTGGGGGCCAGCTCAGCTCTGTGCTCAGCCCAGACTTCAAAGGTGACTTCAAGTCCCAGCCCAGGGATCTGAGGGGAATCCCAAAGCAGAATATCCGAGGGCTTCTCAAAAACAGTGAGCTACCTGTGACTCCCAACCTAATAGGGTGAGACTCAGCCTCTCTAATCAATATAAAGTCATCTTTCACTGAGTTATGCTGGGCATGCTCCAACTGTAGCAGGTGTCTGAAGTTTGGGGTATATAGCACCCATTCTTAGTCATGACTGAGGAGTTCTCAGTCTCAAGGCAACGTGGATACACAATCCATTAACCTTAAGGGCAAAAGAAGCAGGGGCCAATAATGTAAAAGTATTGGCGAAAGAGCCCTGACCACTCTTTTTGTGTAGGTACATCCTGCTCTTCAGTCACTCCCACAGATGAGATCCTATGGGATCATGGTGAGAGAGCTCTCTTGGCTCAGTCTTGGTCCTCAAGATTCCAGTCTCATAAAAGAAGGTTCTGGATCAAGGGTTTGGTTCTCTTCCCCACACTGTACATGGTAGTACTTCATTACCTACCAGTTTTCAACAGACCAGTTGATATGGATGAAAAGAGTGAGTGATTTCACAGCACAGAATACAATAGAAAGAGCCAAATAATCCAAGGAAAGTTCTGGGACTTGAGGGCATACAGTGCCTACAGCTCACCTGGGTTTAAAGAAATTATTGCTTTATTATTTTTATATTTGTTTAACTACATAGAGCACAAGCAGGTTCACACTGAGACAGTGATTTAACCCTTACAATTTTTGGAATAACATCCTTCTCTCCTTGTGGCAATACCCTTTGTTCTCTACAGGCCACTCTCTCCAGGGGTGATTCCCATTTTCTCATCCTTCACACACACACAGTGCAACATCCCAGTCCTTCCCTGCTGGCAGATGAGCTGTGATGGTTCAGCACTCTGAGGGTGCTGACTGTGTGCTCTGCTCAGTGCCAGCTGGAAAGAGCCTCTCCCAATGGAAAACAGCTGAGTTTACCTGCTTTCCTCAGTCAGAGAAATTCTTAATCACCTCTGTATTGGTCCTTAATGTTTTGAGATGTTACAGAGACTCGGTATCTTGGAGTCTTTAATTCCTCTGTGAAATCTGGTGGGAGTGGGCCAATGGGTTATGGAGACATCAGGAGGACACACACAAGCAGAGAAGACAGATGGGTTCTTGGGGGTAATTACAAAATAACCAAGCCAAAAGTACAAAATGACCAAGCAGGAAAGAGATCAAAGGAAATCTGTTATGATGGAACACAGATCTAGGGCTGTTCTGGGAAGAAACCTTTCTGAAATATATCCTCTAGGAGATTATTTTATAGTTGGAGACACACTCAGCTCAGCCACCAAGAAAACAGTGAAAGCTTTCTAGGGAATAATGGTCTTCACTGCCTGCCAAGGCTGGATCGGTAGTGACAATGCAGGAGGGAACAGTACATTTTTTATTTGCCATTTGCATATCTGAGTCTTTGGCCTTTTCTTTTACAAAAACCTACCATAAAATCCATTGTGGACTGTGCTGGTGCCATACTGAGCCCTCCAGAGGCAGGGATCTACTGCTTGGGCTAGTTTAGGATCCTCTGGCCCCAGGAGATCCACCAGCTTCTTCACAGCATTTGGCCTCTGCAGACACAGCACGAGAGCAGTGCCTGAGGTGAGGTAGGTACAGTGAGCTTCTAAAGCAGCAGGATCCTGAAAAGAAAGATCAGAGATGGGACAGTTATAAGGAACAGTGTTGGAAAGCACTGGGTATATCTCAGCTTTCCTTTGGCTAGGAAAAGTTGGAAGTAAGCAGATCTGCCACTGCTCCTTGCTTTGTGTCCTCTTTAAGACACATGCTAGTGGTCTCTGAAGGCAGAGTTTCAAAATATACACCACAGACAAGCAGGACTTGTCAGATCCACCAGGTTACAGAAGGTCTAATTCCTTAGGTGTGAAGGAACTCACATGGATCAGGTGGGAGCACGAACACGGGCAGTATCACCAGGGTCACAATTGCCCTGGGATAAAAAGCCACATGTAATTGTTCAGTCAATATAAAATGATGGATTACAAATAGCAGACCTTTTCTTTTTGTGTTCATGAAAGGCAAGACACCCCCCCCCCACACACACACATATCCTGCTGCCAGGGCCGAGGTTCTCCTGGAAGATGGTAGAATTCCAGACACTAGGACCAGGACCACAGAGATTAAAAGCAGGAGGGTCAGAAGAGGGCCTGCAAGAAAACCATTTGCCCTCCTGGCTTTGCCACTGATGCTGTGATTTTACAGTGCTTTTTCTTGCATCCAAAATTTCTTTGCTTCATAGCAAATTTCTCTACTTTTGCTTCTTTTCCAAGCATGGTCAGTTCAGCCCGTGACCACTCCTGAGCAAAGCTGTTCCTCTTGTAGCTGTGCTGGTCACAACACCCTGGGAATCTTATTTTGCCTAAGGATAAGTGGAAATGCCAACTAGCAACCACTGTACTGGTGAGAGGAATCTGCTTTGAGTGCAGAGACAGACATAATGATGGAAAGGCAGTGAGTGCCTGGGGCACTTGCCATGGGCAGCAGAGAGCTCATGGCCTTGCTGACGGCTTTAATCAAGGAAAACCTTGGAAAACCAGGCTTGTTGCAGATGTCTGGGCTGAACACAAGATCAGGGTGCCCAAAGCAGCTGCAGCCTCCCTCCTCCTGCCTCTTCATCTGAGTAAAGTGGCAGGAGCTGCTTCCCTGCACCCCACGGTGTGACAGCCAGCACTGGATCTTCTCCACACGTTACAAACAAGGGCGTTTCCAGCTCCCTGCCTGAACCAACTCATGGTTATTTACTTTTTTTGCTAATTTTGGAGGAAATAAAAACAGGAGGGGAATTTGATTCAGCTGAATCACGTCATTCACAGAGGTTTTAATTCCTCTATTTTTTAATCTTCTAAAAGCACCAGAGGACAGCAATTCTCTAGATAAAACATTTCTGAAAGCAAATCCTACCATTTCATTTAAAAATATGGAGATAAAACACTTCAAGGCCTCTTTTGCTCCTCCATCACGTGAAACCATTCACTGACTTTGACCCAAATCTTCTCACACTCGCCTTCCTCCTAAACTGAATCTCTGAGAATTAGGTTATAAATTGAAAACCATGAGCTCAAGCCTCATATTCTCCTCTCTATTTGCAAAGGCAAAATGATCCATGAGAAAGCCCTCCTGTTCTTAAATTGCTGAGTTATGTAAGGGATTGTATGTGGTGTTTGTCAGTCCTCCTGCCCATGGGCAAAGGGTCGTATCTCCAGTGACAAGAGCTCTGTTTGGATGAGGATAAAGAATTTCAGCATGGCATAGTGTGCTGCAGAATTGTGACATTCATTCAGCTCTGCATAATACAAAATAATCCCTTCATGCTTGAAAATTTTGTTAGTTAAAAAGAAATGTGTATAATTCACTTTTCTGTTGGTTTTCTCTTTGGGGGATGAAAAACAGTGATAATTTTCATGAAAACTTTCAAAAAGACTGATGTGACATTTCAGCATTCATCTATGGCAGGAACAACTGCAAAGAAAACATTCAGTTTCTGTTAGACCAGAATAAATGAAAGTTATGTTGCTCCAGAGCTTCTTAACAGTGATTTTAGATCTACATAACAAAACTCTTCTCTCTGTTTCCTGTCTTTGAGTTCTTCCCCAGCAAATCCAGGCACTTGGAGTTAAAGACGATGTTGTTTCTAATTGTTAGTGAGTCCAGGCGACCCTTTCCTTCTGATACAGCTCCTCAATCCACTCCAGATCCCATTAGCCCAGTGCTGTCTTTATTCCCATCCTTTTTTTCTCCATCCTCCTTTATTTCCATCATGCTGTCTCCAAGCTGTGTCCTTGTGGATCCCCGAGCAGCTGTGGAGAGGTTGCACATGTGCAGCTGCCTTGAATTCAGTGAGCAATTTTGTTGAGAGGAAGTTCCAGCTGTGCACTGGCTCGGGAGGATAACGGGATTAACAAACAGCAAAATTATCCTTCTGCCTTTACTGCTGGAATCACAAGATAGGGTTGGAGAGAATCGTTGAGTATTGAGTCCAGTGACCTGCTACTGCAGGCAATCAGATCAGGTAATCCCCCAAAGCAGGATCAGGTCCCACTGTAAAAATCAGGCTAAAACTGCCAATCTCCACAGGGCTGGATCTGCTGGATAAGCACTGAAAGGAGATCCAGCCTCCAAGGGCAGAATTCCTCCTGGGAGCCGGCGCTTCTCACTGTCTGAACACCATCAGGTCGTGCCAAAAAACTGGGAAGACAATGTCAGCTCTATTTACCTGACCTTTGTTTTTTATAAGCGTTCTTAAACTTCAGATAAAACACATTGTTGTGGCTCCTGTGACTCGATAACCTCGTGGAAGAACGGAGCAATCCATTATTTATCACATGCCAAAGGCCACGCGCTGCTCCGGAGCTCAGTGTTAGTATTTAAGTTGAAAAAGCAATCACGTAGCTGAGATCAGGCTGCTGAGGATATTTGTCAAGTGCATGTAAATAATACATTAGAAAGAAAAAGGAGATGTGAGGTAGTCTGGCTTCAGTGAATAAAACCCAAATTTGCTCACAAAAACTATGTACACACAACAAACCGGCACATCACAGAGCACTTGGGAGTTTTCCAGAGGTGGATTTTGGATGAGGCTCCAGGTGAGGCAATAAAAGCCATGGAGAAAATTTCTAGAAGGGGCAGAAACACTGGCTCCATCTTCTTCAACAGGACATCTCATCATCACTGGTCTCATCCATACATATAAGTATCTCCAAGGGGTGTCAGAGGATGGTGCCAGACTCTTTTCAGTGGTGCTCAGAGACAAGACAAGGAGCAATGGCCATAAATAAAACACAAGCAGTTCCACCTCAACATAAGGAAGAACTTCTTTCCATGGCAGGTGGCAGAGCACTGGAACAGCTGCCCAGGGAGGGTGTGGAGTCTCCCTCTCTGGAGACATTCCAAACCTCCCTGTGTCACCTGCTCCAGATGACCCTGCTGAGCAGGAGGGTTGGATTATCCCTAGATATCCCTTCCAACCTCAGCTATTCTGGGATTCTGGGACATGTTAAATTCAGCAATTTCCACCCACATGAAGAGCCTCATTTTAAAGCCAGCATTGTATTCTGTTGTGCTGTAAACTGAGGAGCAGATCAACACTGATATTGCTCCCATCCAAACGCTGTGTAGGAAATTCAGCTGGAAAACCAGCCCTGCTCCCACAGCTGCCATTGTGCTACTTACCAGCTGGATTTTCCAAATAACCCAGGCCCTGGAGCCTGCTGAGGCTTTCTGAAAATCTTCCTACTTATCCTGGGAGCTCAGCCTTTCCCAGCCCTCACCAGTGAAAGACTTTCTGACATGTTCTAAGAACGAGAAGGAGCCCCTGGACAGCAGAAAGCATTTCCTACTGTCAGTTCCCCCTTGCCAAAGGCACACTATTTCTCTGCTTTCCCTTTCAAAACCTGCTCTTTTTGCCATGAACAAAAACCCAATAATCTGTAATTTTTACACTCATTAGTTACCAGCTCTTCAAGAAAACTAAATCAATGCTCAACAGCTGCTCTGGTGTGTTGGAGAACTCCAAACCCAAGATATTTTTCATGAAACAACCTCTCCTCACATTTACCCCACAAGTATATGCATTATTTTCTGAGGATATTTGGACTTTTTAAGACATTTTCTGTTTCAGATGATCAAAAAAGCATTTTGTATTTAGCATTTTGTATTTGCTTTTGTATTAAAAAACATATTGGGAAGCACATCCCCATCCACAGCAACAGCAACTATAACCCTCTTACCAGTATAAATATTTAAAAATCAGATGCTTGTGCTCACTGCTATCACACAAAAGGTATTAATTGTTCCATAACACTGCCCTGGCACATTCTTGTTTTCTTCTGGAAGCCTCTATCAAGAATTTCTTGGAGACAATGTTATAAACTTTCCCAACTTAACCCAACAACAGTATCAATTACAAAGGTTTGTTTTCTCTAAAGTTAATTGGTTACATGTCTTCATGAAAGCAATCAAATAACACAGATTTTCTTTTTCCCTCAAGGAAATTTAAAAAAAAAATAATAATCTAACTCCTCTCAAATGCCCAGTGTTCAGCTTCCAGGCTTCATAATATCTGAACACTCAGGATATGTTGAGGACAAAAATAATTTCTAATACTATAAAGAGCAGAAACGTATCTATTTTTAGGTAATTAACACCCATAATGCCCCAAAACTCAAGAAGCCTTTTTATTGTCTTTTAGACCTCAGCAATGACAATTTTCTCTCTTTGCAGGCCATTTTTACAGAGCTGCTCACAGGCTCCTGGAACTCAGGAGCTGTGTCTCTGATGTAATCTAAGGTAACAGCACTCCAGAGATCCATATTCCCTGACAATGCAATGAGTGTTTCCCAGGTTTAAACACATGGAATAAAACCAGGCACACGTGCAGGTATGTGCCCTACCTGGAATGACCCTGAGGAAGGAGGAGAAGACACCTGTTTGGCAGGTAAAGAGTCAGCCCTGTACAGATTCCTGGGAGGTCTGTATTCCCCATAACCTCCACAGTTTCATCTGGGAGAAACCAGGTCTGCTTCTTTATGGCATGTGATAAAAGGAACCCTGAGCATGTCAGCTCTCTGTGCTGATAAGGTGCAGATCTGATTGTTCTGTACAGCTCAATTCCAAAACACCTCCGAAATCCCGGGTGGGAACTGCTGCCTTTTCCAGGAATGGGTTATTCACCACTTGACATATTTCCCCACTCTAAAGCTCAGCAGAGCCACGGATCTACCAGATTCTGAACCAACCTGTTTCACTTCAGAAGGAAGGAGTCCCAGAGCAGTGGCTGGTTCCAGGTCTACGTGTTTCATTCCAACCAGGGTGAATTTTTCCAGGTCTAGGTTTCTGAGGATCCTTGCAAGATTCTGGCTCCAGACCCTGGGTTTGATGAGCAGCACCGTGCAGAGGACCTGGGCTCCTGGAACAAACACACAGCAGGAGTTGTTTACTAGCCTGGATGGACCTCTGGAGATGAGGTTTATGGAAAAGCTGGCATGAAGTTCATAAAAATCTGAACAAAACAGGTCCATAAAACGCCCTGTGCATCAAGGATTATTTATTTATTTATTTATTTATTTATTTATTTATTTATTTATTTA